GTGATATTTTGCTGTATTAATCTCACTAATTAATCTGTTAATCTAACAAGCTGTTGCATGAGGAGCCCCAGCTGTGCTAAGCTGCTCCCTTTCTGTTGTTCTGCAGTCCTACTGCTACAGRTACCGCTGTGCAGCTCGGAGCCAGAACACCCCCGACAGCTCCKCTTCCAACCTGGGCTTCCGCTGCGCCGCCGACACCGCCCCGGGGCCACGCTGACCACAGGATGTTCCTGGGCACACCAGGGGCTCAGCCACCCCAGCAAGGGGACGTGGCACCAGTCAACCTCGCTGAAGACAGAATGGAAAAGCCTTTCTTCAAACCAGCACTACTCAATATTGCTCAGAGAACTTTTGCGTTCATGAGGAACCTGGATTTAAATCCTGACCGGAGTGTTCTGGATTCAACTGGAACAAAACTGGGCAGAAACATGSCAATCGTATTTTGAAAGGTTACTTAATCCCAGGATTATTTAGGCTGGAAAAGATCTTCAGGATCATTGAATCCAACCTTTGACTGATCACTACCTTGTCAACTACAACAGCTCCTCTAGGCAAGATCTTTATTAATTAGTTTTATTTATCTAGAGTTTCTACACCCGAATGCAAAAAGCAAAGACTTCATTAACTTCTAGACAGCTTTAAAAGACATTGTAGGCAGTTAAGAAATTCTAGGCAGCTTTAATAGAGAATGGAAGGAGTTGAGAGTGAGGGCTGGGAGATGACAGCTCTCCCCACAGGCAGCTTGCACAGCCCTTCTGTTACATTCCACTTGCRGTGCAAATCATGTCCAGAAATGGGCTTTTTCTGGGGAGGTATTTGCTGCTCTTTAGGAAGTGCCTTCTGCAACTGAGCGGTGATAATCCTCAGGGTGATGATGATTAGAAATCTTGTACATATTTGAATAAAGTATCAAGCATTTGTTTATGCCAAAGACTTTTATTAATGAAAAAACACAATTTCCTTTGAATTTCTTCTACACAGTGTAGGCTAATTTTAGGGACTTGGAAAATGCAAAACTGTCCTCATTAGAAACTGAAGCTAATGAATGATTCCACTTGAGTAAAAGTCATGGAAGTGATGGCAGATGGAACTCTGAGCCCTAAGGCCTAATAGGGTAAATTTCTAAACCGTTGTGTGTTGAAAATAAAATTCCTCACTGAAAAGGAGAAGTATTTTAGCAAGTAAGAAAGGAAATTGTAATTTGAGTAATTGAAAGCAACCTCATTTTGGGAACTGAATGTAACAGTRGATTTATAAAAGCCTTGGCACTGATGCTGGTCCTTGCCAGCATTGTCTTTGCTGTAGTAAACTGGGYTTGGGTTTGATGCAAATCCATCACCTGCCAGCTCCCTCTGCACTGGTTTCATGTTCAAAAGACGGCACAGGAGAACATTTGGGCAGCCTTTCACCAAACACCAGCCTCCACAGGGGTCCAGCTAAGTCCAGCAAGCAGAAAAATGTATTGCAGAACACACCATGACATGGCACAATATTGAGAAATTGATAATCAATACTGCACTCAGAGTAGAGAGGAGCAGGGAGGATCAGAGGAAGCTCCGAGTCTTTTGAGCTGTTTAATTTTATTGTGACACTGAGCTGAGGAGCAGACCAGGGCTCTGAAGCTGAAAGGAGCCTGAGGGGAAAAGTAAACACAAATTCAGCAGATACAGCTGAGGATCTACTCTTTTTCTAGGTTCTTGTTAGGGATTTTTTTTTTGTAGGATTTTGGTCCACTCTCCCAGGCAGCTGCAGTGCCACGGCATGCTGAAGCACAGTGCATTGCTGCATGGAAAAGGGCCATTAGCAATTGCCAGGATGGTTCAGAGCTCACTATTATTTTGTTTTTGCAAGGCTTTTAGTGTGGCTGTTTTGAGCAGTCCAACACTGAATTCCTGTTCTGTGCTGGAGTTTGTTCTGAGCAGATAACTGGGATCAGATCACTCGTTGAAGCTGCAGCTCTGGCGTGGGCTGAGGGGTAGAATTGCAGGGACAGAGGGCTCAGCTGTGCTCCTGCTGCAAGGCTGTGATCAAGGACTAGATATTGCTAAAGGTGGTCGGATTTTTTTTAATCTACACTTCCTTAACTACTCACAATCATGCCAAGTGCATATTCATAACAGGAAGGTAACAAACCGTGCTGTCATCCTGAAAATGAGCAGTGCAGATGCTGTAAAACTAATCTTGAAACTTGCCTCAGGAGGGGAAGAGGAAGTGGAATGGATGATCTGCTCCCAGCTCTGTGGTCTGAAAGTGGCTGGCATGATGCCTTTTCAGGGAGAAAACCAGATAAGGCTCGACTCTACACAAGAGACTTTGCAGTCCAGGCTGTGCTCTGGAATCCCCTGCATTCCAAGGTACAGGATCCAGGGAGTTWCCCTCCTGTAGCAGCAGGAAACTTCAGTGAGGTGTGGAGTAAAGGTAATGGGCACTCAGCCTGYAAACCACTTCTGACAAGCAGCTGCAATCCTTTGGAAGGTTTCTGTACTGACAGAAATRACACTTAATGATTAACCCTAAGAGAAATCACGTGTTAACATTTATCTTAACATAAACCCACAGCCGTGTGTAAATCCCAACAGCAGCAGGGAGGCACTTCAGTGGGAGAGGCTACACTGCATCTTATCGAGCAAGCAAAGGTAAACACTGAGTAGGATTTTGTTTAGCAAATAGCAAAATGTCCTTTATCCCKGGTGAGGATCAGGTAAATCACAGYGTGGTYTGGGCCRGAAGGGACCTKAAAGCTCATCTYGTTCCAAGCCCCCTCCCCAGGGCAGGGGACCTTCAGTTTGCTCAGAGTTGAATCTTTGAATTAATCTGWTCATATTTCAATTGGAAAGTAAATCTCCCGATAATTGAGAGTAGACAGGATTACAGAGAGCTCCCAGCTTTTAGCTGTTTGCCTGGAATCCTTGAGAAAGAGCACACTGAGCTGGGASTGACAGCTTAGTCCTTCAGTGGCACCAATCTTTCAGGTCCAAATCAAAGCTGTCTTTAATTCAAAAATGAAGTTACTGGTAGCCTGCAGAACAGCTGATTCCCCATGAGATGCACTCCCTTGTGTGTGTGTTATGTCAAAGGGTATGAAAACAGGTAAAGATCAAACTGTCCAGAGCAAATAACTGAGGGTTTGTGCTGCTGATGGCACAGTGTGGCATGAATAAAAAGCATTGTAGTTTATCCATCTTAAATATCAAAACCAGCCTGTGTGAGCTTCCTTAATCTGATCTTTGCAGAAAGGAAGTGAAGGAACATGAAATTACAGAATGTGCCCATCTGGCAATGCATCCCTGGCAGGAGGTGTTCAGGAAGGCACCTCAGAGTGGGATAAGGACGATGCAAAGAGGAAGGACCTTCTCCTGTGCTGGGAAAGGCCAGGCCTTGCTTAATGAAGCCTGGCCCTGGAGCAGTGCAAACACAGTTCAGTGAGCAACAGGAAGAACCCTGTGTGTCTGTCAGCTGTTCAACATGAAAACACAAATCTGTCGGTGTTCAGATGTATTTCTGTATTTCTACACCCAGTCACTTGTCAGCATGTCCTGCTCCATGCTGCAGGGGCAGGATTTGCTTCCTGAGCATGTACTGCCAGTGCTGGGGAGTGACAGATGTGCTGTGATTGCACAGATCTGATCAGAGAAGCCTCCAGGCTGAGGTGATTAAAAGAGATGGGATGTTGTGCTCCTCAGAGACTGCAGTCCTGTGCCACTTCCACAAAGCTAAATGGGAGTGAAACAGCCAGTCACAGTCTGMTTCAGGCATGCAGCTGGGAAAGGGACACTAAGTATTAAAGTGCTCTTTTTGCATTCGTAATAATTAGTTATTATACTTTGTGAAACCAAAGAATTACAGCAAGTCATTWAAAAMCARTAATTTAATGCATTTTAAGAAATCKAATGCCTCTCKTGCAAATGTGATGATTCATGGTGTCATTTTCTTGTGCCATTTTCAGTGACTTTTCTTGCTGCTGCCACATGTCCTGTCCATGCACAAGTGCTAAAGGTACAAATTCTGCAGGATAGAAGCTGCTTTAGCATATGGCAAACTGTCAGAGGAAAACCAGACAAAAACACCAGGCCTGGCTTAGTCACTGATTTTAGAACATCCTGAAGCTCCAATAATCCCTTGGACTACCCACCTTCAAAAGTCCTTGAGTAGGATGTTCATGAGATTATGTGAAAACCTTGCTCTCTTTACTGCTTCTCAAAYCCACATGTTGGAACACAGAGAGCTTTATTCAACTATTAGAGAAAATATTTTTTCGGTGTGCTTAAGGCTGAAAGGCTATGAAGAACTTCCTGGTGAGGAAAAGAGGGAGCTGTCCCAAGGTAAGAAGGAAGCACACGTGCGGGAACCACAGTAGCAAGGCTTTCTCAGGCTGTTCTCCTCCTCCAGAGGTTTTTGTTCTCTGCTASTTTCTGGGAAATTATGGAATCTTCCAGAGTAATCGTATGAAAGTTCCTCTCCAGCAGAAATATCAGCGGCTGCAAAAAGTGCCAGTTTGGGCACCATGGAGTCAACTCTCACAGGCACCATGAACAAATTGGGTTCACACGAGTGGTTCAGGAACCTGCCCACGTTGCCGATGYGGGTGGGATCCACAAAGGTCTCCATGACCCGCCCGTCGTGGAGGTGCTCCCTCACGGCTATGATGTAATTTGTGTCCTGTGGTGTCTGRGCCAGGATTCTTCTCCGTGCCTCAGCAAAGCCCAGCACCTCCCCAGCGTACTCACAGACGAAGGATCCRCGGGGGATGTGCTCCAGCGTGCGCACCCCCCAGCCCTTGCGCYGGGTGCGGAACACCTGCAGCCGCAGCCGCAGCCCGCGCTGCACCAGCCGGTTGTGGCACCGCTCCCCGCACTGGCACAGGCTGTTGCACTCAAACACGGGCCTGGAGAAATGCTCCTCCTCCTGCTCGGGCAGCCGCAGGCGCTGGCTGCTGTAGTTCTCCCCCCGGCACAGACAGGGGCACTCGGAGACAGCGCAGGAGCTGCTCCGGCACGAACAGCCCGGGAAGGTGATCTCAGTGGGGTCGAGCTCTCCGTCTGCTCCGGGCACGCTCTCGGGGCTGTACTGCAAAGAGAACAGGAGAAACTTGCATCAGCAGTGCTTGAAACCACAGTTTTAAAAACGTTTGTGTCTGGCAATGCCTAATCTCAGAACTTGCATCATGAGCACTTCTTTTTTCTCTACACTTCCAACTCAAACTTGTCTGAAATGTTTAAAAGAATGCTAATCAAATATGCCATATAGACCAAAAAAGAACGGATAGTCTTGTTAGTACCTGAATTTAAAACACCCGCCACAAAAAATGCTTAGCAGAAAAAAAATCAGCAAATTAGATCTACTCTGTTAGGTAAGATTTTCACTCATACCAAAGATATTTACCTATGCATGTATTTATTTGCAGAATTAWGGTACTGTTAAAGTAATCCCACACTTCAAAATGCTCAATAAATTACTTCTCAGGTTAGCTATATAGCTATTCTAAGCCACTGAATTTTAAATACACATTTAGGTTTAAAACGAAGATTCAAACTGCATTCAAACTTCCTCCTAATTCCGGTGGAAAATCAGGTTCTCAAAATTACAATAACGCCCCCAGCAGGTGAATTATAGAACCACKGAGTGTTACAAAACAAAACCTGATAGAAACTGCTAAATTTGAAAACCAACCTCCAAAGACAGCCACGGGAATATTTTCACTCCCTTCTCAGCATTCAGCTTTATTTAGAAGCCTGGAGGATGTGCCATCACTAAATATTACATTTCACGGCAKCTTGTACCTGGCAAATTCTGATTGTTGCGAAAGATGACAGCGCATTTGCAAGTTTCTTTCCTTTATAAACATCAGCTTCTCAGTGAAGCTTTACTCAAAAGCAAGTTTAATAGCCCCTGATCTGTTTAATAGCCCCGCGATCTTTCCCATTTCGGTAAAACACGAACACACCACGCAATTTAGGGAGACGCAATTTTAGGGAGACCCCCCAGGGGTCTATAGGGATCGCATTTTATTTTATCCGCAGGTCTTTTAGAAGCTTCTTTAATCTGGTTTATAGAGACTCCCAAACACCACTAAAGCATCCTGGAATGACAGGACAAGAGGCAGCGGAACCAAATTCGAACAGGGCAGGTTTAGATTAGATATCAGGAATAAATTCTTGACGGCGGAGAGGCCTGGCACAGGTTGCCCGGAGAAGCAGTGGCTGCCGGTCGCTGGCAGTGCCCAAAGCCAGGCCGCAGGGCCCGCAGTGGAAGGTGTCCCTGCTCCGCTCTCCTCCCCCGTTCCCCCGTTCCCGTTCCCCGCCCCGGTACCTGGAAGGCCGGCGGGGCCTCCCCSGGCGCGCACAGCGCCACAGCCACGGCCTCACTGCCGCCGCTCAGCTCCGCCGCCGCCATGCCGCGCCACGCCCCGCCCCCCGGCCCTGCGCCCATTGGCTGCGCGGGGCCCGCGCCGCTCTCTGATTGGGCAAGGCGGTGACTGACAGGGGGCGGCACCACACGGAGCCCTGAGGGGCGGGCGCTGTGAGAGAGCCCCGCCCCATCCCGGCCCCGCACCAATTGTCAATATCAATAAATTGTCAATCACTTGTTTTAATACTTCACAAAGCTGTCAATCATTGCTTATTTTGAAGATATTCGGTTTTGCTTTTGTTTCTTTTTTTAATTACTTTTTAAAAATAAATGAATGTTTGATGATGCGGATGGGAACCTGAGCCCTGAGAGAGGGGAGGCAGTGCCATGCATTCTTGTCCTGGAGATGGGAAAAGCCGTGGACTTGACTTTTGGGAGGACATAATCCAGCCAAATCAGTGCTCGGGGTGATGGGAGACACGAATCCATGGAACAAGTGTGATTTGGGATCATAGATTGGTTTGGGTTGGAAGGGACCTCAAAGCCCATCCAGTGCCACCCCATCCATGGCAGGGACACCTCCCACTGTCCCAGGCTGCTCCAGCCCCATTGTCCAGCCTGGCCTTGGGCACTCAAAGGGATCCAGGGGCACCACAGCTGCTCTGGGCACCCTGTGCCAGGGCCTCACCCTCCTCACAACCAAGAATTTATTCCCAATCTCTAAACCTGGCTCAGGGAGCTCCTGCCAGTGCAATGKATGATGTTCTCCTAAAGCATCTCACACGATCTCTCTGAGCTGGAACTCGCCCGCTAGTTTAGGAAAACAAAGCCGGCTGGTGTTGCCACACCGGGGTTCCATCAGCTTTTGTATTTACCCCAGCACAGGTGTTCTGCGTTGAGGAAGCTCTTGCCATCATCTCACCTGCTTTTGCCCCTCATGTGAACCAGGTGTTTCCAGTTGGAAATCAATTAGCACACCCATAAATAGGCCCCCCTTAGAGCTGGGCGGGAGAAGTTTCTGTAGCATACCTTGTGTTGCTCCGTGGACGTGTTGCTGGTGTCTCTTTCTTTCTGGGTCGGTTACTAATGTGGCTTTTCTTCTCCTTCTTTCTGCAGTGGCAGCGTTCACGAAATGGAAAGAGTTGTTACTGATTTTGTCCTTTTTCTTCTCGTTCACGAAATGGAAAGAGTTGTTACTGATTTTGTCCTTTTTCTTCTGACTGGAAGAGGAGTTGAGCAGCAGCGCTGGAGTTGCAGGTGAGTTTGGACACTGAGAACTCTGTTTATGGGGCGTAATGAGGACATAAAGTTGATGGGAAGATAATGAAAGTATTGTTTATTGGTGAGTTGAAAATGTTGTTTATTGTTCTGYGGCTGTAAGAGAAGGGAAGGTATGGGAGGGTCACAGCTGGCCTATATAATTTTGGAGAAGGTTTTTATCAATTTAACCTTATAGCATCAGTCTTGGTTAATGATCAGAATGTACACGGTTGGAAGGGTTTAATCATAGCTTGTTGGTTTGGGTTTGTCCACCCACTGCTGCTCTTTGTGGTGCCTCCAAGCTCTGCCTCCTTGGGGTGGTTGCTCTCCCCCTGTGACCCTTTCCCTGTGAGAGATGCTGAAGTGTTGAGTGATTTGAGATATTAAAATGAACCGAAGTTTAGGGCTTTCTGTTATTGCCAAGTTGACCTTTAGATCAAGGTACTGTAATTTGGCTGCTGAGCCTTTTGCCAGATGGAATTCTCTACCTTTTTGAAATGATTGAAGTAATGAGTCATTACTCTGTTGTAGAAGAAAGAGATTGCTTATATGTATWGGAGAGGGGTTTGGAAATCTGCAAAAGGTCATGGAAAATCCGATGTTTTTCTCCTCCTTACCATCCCACGGCTCTTGTTGTGTTGAATTATGAATGGGTTAAACTGTTGAGAGATCCAGGGTGGGTGAAAAATGGGTGGAAGCTTCTTTTTGTTAGTTACGTAAAATTGTTGTAGAAGGAAAGCCTAAAATGCAGCTGAAACAGTGAACTGGAGGTGAACTTCATGATGCTGCACAGAGGCACCTGGTGTAGCTGGGGATTTCTTTTGCAGCACATTCTGCTGTCTCTAGGATGAGATTGCAAATCCCTGTTGTTACATTCATGCATTAGGCTCCTGGCTTTTCTCCCTATATAAACAACGCTTTCTGCTCATAAATAATTTTTGTGATGCTTTTCTGCACTTCCTTGGATTGCTTAGTATTCTTCTGATAATTGGAATTGGGATGGGTAACTGTGCCTGAGCTGTGAGTTTGCATCTTCACCTCGCTTCACTGAATTTTGGTGGTTGAGGCTCTGTGTTGTAACAAGGTGGTGGAGCTCAGGGGGTGTGAACTGTGAGGCATCAACTGCAGTGGAGGGAGATGTGCTCACAAAACTCTGTGCAATCCTAGTCTGGAGGAAATGGGATATTAAACGTTTCTGTCTTTTCTGGCAGGCAAAAGATGCAGGTATCCAAGGTTATTCTGATATTGGTGTGGTGGGAGCTAAACCATCCCAAGTGATAAACACAGGGGTTCCAGGTATTCCTAGTGGCCTCATCAGTGCTGGTGGTTTGGTGCACCCATTTCTCCAGCTACGAGTATTGCCAGCTCTGCATCAGCTTAGCTGTGGCTTCCTTGAGTTGATTTTGGCCCTAAAAGGTCTTGTTTTCAGGGTTGTCCCTGGGAGAGTGAGCAGAAGCCTTTTTATGAAAGGTTCCTTTTGGCTTCCTAGTTCCCTATGGAACCAATCTCTGAAAGAATAAGGTATCCCTTTTAAGTGCTTTATTTTACATTGCACATGGTTTCTGTCGGACTTTGTTCTGAATTGCCTATTCAGGTACTTTCCAGACACTGGAAGTTGCTGTTTTACATTAAAAAGGAGCACATCTCCTGTGTGATGTACTGGATATGCTTCCCGAAGTGTTTCTGAAATCGTGGCATTGAGCACAGAGKTTCCAAAGGGCCTTCAGTCTGTCAGTCCCTGGCTGAGAGTTTTAACTGCTTTATCCATGCCTGCGTTAGGCTGTGTCTCTTTCCTCCTGTAGTTCATCTTGGTTACTTTTTATTTTAAATTCCCTTATTTAAAGACTCTTCTCTTTGTGCTGCTCTTTTTATGTCAGCTTTAATTTTTCCCCTGATTTGACCTTCATTTGTGGATAATCATCTCCATGAGGTGGGTGGGCAGGTCCTCTGTATCCTTCTGCCAGTCTCTTGTGTCTATTAGAACATTGATTTTCAGAGTGTGAAGTRTACAAAATCAATATCCCCTTAAGTGGAGCAAGTGACAATGTTTCTGAGGCTGGACAAGTTCAGGGTGGTGTCTGCACACTGAGCTGGGGCTGGCTGGGCAGCTGAGATAGAACCATGTCCTGGTAGGGTTTTATTCACGCGTGTTCATGGCAAACAGCTACGTTTTAAGAAGTGTTTGTAATGCAGAAAGGTGCTTTGTTTTATTAAGACACTTGTGGTTTGTTTTTTGCTAGTAAAACAGTGGAATWTAAATGTTCTGTGGAGCATTTGGAMAAGATGTATGGACAGGAGCAATCGTAGTAGTGTCTGCTCTGGAGAGCTCAGAGAATTGTGGAGAGACCTGGTGTGAAGWTTTTTTTATTGGTTTTTGTCAGTATGAGATGCTGCCACATAAAGGTGATGCCTGCAGCTCACCCAGCTTTCTTGGCAGTCTGCCACTGGAAATGGGGAACCAAAACACCCATTTTTGTGTTTGTCACATCTGAACCCTTCTCGGAGCACTCTGCAGTTATTTTATCACGAACTCCTTGTGCTTCAGAGCCAGCCACAAACACCTGAGCGACCGCAGGTGAAATTCCTCTCTGCACACCTGATTAAAACGTGACAAACACATTAACCCGGGCTGCTAATTGCTGATCTGGGCAGCTGGGGTTTGTCTGTTCACAGCTCAATCCATTTGTGCCCTCCAGGCTGTGCCATCCCTGCCAGTGTCCTGTGCTGAGGGTTTGGGGGTGTGTGGCTGCAGTGGCTGGCGCTGTCCCCTTGCTGCCCTGTTCTGTCACCCCGGCACTGGGATGGGAGGATCGTTCCCCAGCCTGGCTTCTGCTGTGCACTAATGAGTACCCACATTTTCTGAGAGCTCTGCTAATGATGTTTGTAAATCCCGAGAAGTTGAAGATCAGTTTATTTAAGCCTGCCTTAGCTGTGCGGAGAGGGCTGATCTTGGAAAATGCTGTGTTGGAATAACGCGGTTTATCAAAATATCTCCCAGTACTTTTGCAGAGAGAGATCAACTTTGTTTCCTTTCTTGTCCAGATAAGAAAACTGACGCAGGAACACTCGAAAGAAGTTAAGCASTGGTTGAGCTCTTGGCTATCACAGGGCTTTGCATTTCATCCCTTCCCGTGTRCTGCTCTTACAGCATCGATTGGATAATGGGAACCATAAATCTCTTTGCCAATATATGGGCAGTCACAAAGTCTTGACTTTGAGATGAGTAAAAAAGTTTCATGCTTTCACCTTTTGTCGCATCCTTGGATATAAACAAAACAAGTTAGAGCAATGGGAACAATTCTGCTCTCCCTATTGCAAATTGCTTCCTGATTAATAGTAATGTATTTTTTTGTGAAAATTAGCCTTGGGATCTATTTCAGTAATTAAACTTACCTACAAAGTATAATAAATAATACCTTCAAAGTATTTTGGCCTAGCAGCAGCAGGTGAGCCACTTGCAAAGACTAGATGGACCCCCCCCATCTCCTGGCTAAAACTGGGCTTATGCTTTGCAGGGAATCCTTCCAGAGTGTATTATTCTCTTTTTGTTACTAGAGAAACCCACAGAACAGCATTCCAGTTAAAGAGACTTCTGTATAAAAGTATTYCTTCAAAAGAAACTCATTACCAAGTGAGACAGAACTGCCTCCCAGCCTGGACAAATTTCTCCCCTTTGAAGTGCACATCAAATTCCATCTGTGCTCCCCATCTGCCTTGTATGAACAAACTTCATTTGACACCAGTGACCCCTGGCATTTCCTGCTGGATGAGGGAAATGGTTTTGC